AACCGTAGTCATTTCCTAATTTTTTGTTACAAATATGCCAAGATTTCTTTTAAATTTAACCGAGAAATCACGGTACAAAGCAAAAGTGCTTAAAATTGTGTAAATTATTTTTTAAAAAATGGCGTGGCCACCACATCTCTTTTTCCGTAAATCTCCCATTGTTACCAAAAAGTGAAGTAACTCAAAAAAATAATTAATTAATTAGCTTAAATAAAATTTCAAGTTAGGTAATTAATTAGTTAACCATTATTTTATTTTCATTATTTTCAGTGGTCTAGGAAAAAAATGGCCCGAATCTAATTTAATTTAACGCTAGCTATTAATAAGAAATAAAACAATTGATTAATTTTTTTTATCCTATTGCAATATGTTTATGATGTTACGTCTTGTGTAAAATAAATAATAATAAACACCCATGGTTTTCATATTATGCTATAATTTTTAAAGTAGCAAATTTTTAGCACAGCTGGATTGATTCCGCGAAAGAAAGAAATCTACCTCTCACTCCTTTCTGCCGTGACGGTTTTTTTTTGTTCGTTATGTTTTGTGCTAAAAAATTACATTTCAGACCATGATTTTTTCGTGATTAGACATTTTCTTCTGGTGCTTTTCTGATTTCTGTTTCTAATCTTCTTATGCGATCTCTCGCTGTGATGACTTCAAAGTTGGTAATTAATTTTTTATATTTGTTAATGTTGGTGAATAAAAACATTTACATTGCAGGCTATGACGAAAAAACATTTGGAAAAGATATGAAAAATATGTTCCTTTTTGAAATTAAAGTATAGAAACTTTTAAATCAATTTAGTTTTTCAGTTTTTCTCTTTAAAAGAGTGGAAAGTATTGCATTGGGCCGAAAAACGATGTGTAGAGTTTTACCTCGATTGGGAAGTTTTTAGGTCTTCCCCTGATGACCAACCTGGATCTGCCTTGGTTCGGCCAAAAACAGGAAGATAATTGTGAAGATCACTTATAATCTCAACCAGACTCTGCAGAGATCATCTACGTTTTTTTGCCCACCGAATACCTTAAACTGCTCAAATTTCCACAGCTCTCGCGTGGACACCTAAGTCGACAATTATTTGAAATAGTCCTAACCTAGAAAGGAATAACGTTCGAAACGTCATCGTTAGAATAGGATAGGATAAAGATAAAAGTAGCAGCCATAAGGCCTTCTTCACTTCAGTAGATGTGCTCAATTATTTTTATACCTCACTGGCCAGCTTCAACTTGTTAATCGATCTCTACAGCCTTATACCTCCCTGGTGTAGGATCTGCTTGTGGTTTTTCTCTCCTACTTTCAAAAATCTACACCTACATAGCCCTCACAAAAACATAAAACGTTTTCTGTGGTCACCTCTTCTTCCTAGCAGTATCTGTGCATTTTTTCTTCTGTCAGAACTCTCGGTGCATATGCTTTCTTAACTGGCAATGATCTGTCAGGAGTCCAACCAGAATCCTGGTTCGGTTGCGTTGCCTTCCAGTAATTCTTTTGTAAGTTTTGCGGATGGTTCTTCTATGAACTCTTCCCATGCCTCATACCTGTGGTTTGGCACCACCAGGTTATGGCCTCATAGGCCTAATAGGCCAGGTGCGGACGCTAAAGATCCTCTAGTCTTGTGCTCTGTCAGGAGTCCAACTGAATCCTGGATCGGTTGCGGTTGCCATCCAGTAATTCTTTTGTAAGTTTTGCGGATATTCCTTCTACGAAGGTCTTCCGGTGCCTCATACCTGTGGTTTTGCACCACCAGGTTTTGGCCTCATTAAGGATCCATTTTAAGATGTATCCTCTTTTGTGGCAGGATGCTAAGCCACAGTAGGGTTCAGGAACCAGTGAGTCCATGTAGGCCCCCTCTTTGGCCAACTATGTCCAAGGGACCCATACCCGGGTCAAGTGGTCATTAGTGTAATACTAATAACAATTCTTTACTTTTTAAAAGGATAGTTCCTACTCACAGTAAGTTGGTTTGCAACGATCCGGATTTCGAGCTTTTTAGCTCATCATCAGGTTGAAGGACTTCTTCAACCTGATGATGAGCTAAAAGGCTCGAAATCCGGATCGTTGCAAAACAACTTACTGTGAGTAGGAACTATTCTTTTAAAAAGTATTGAACACCACACTCACTCCATCATTTATCATTTCTAATAAAAATTCTTTGTGTAAAAGGTCTTGGTTGAAATGAATGCCCTGTCTGGAATCCAACCAGAATTCTGGTTCTGTGAGAATATTATAAACTGTGATATGCTTTTGCTAAATAAAATATACAGTTGTATAGTGCAATAATTAAATAATACCTCTAGTATTAACTACAAAAACTAATAAATACATAATATATGTATATAACCATTGTATGTATATTACTTTATAAATATATCTCAAGCAATATTTAAATGTCATACTTCGTCATAATTGGGAGATTTTCTTGAACTGGTTTATCGAACTAAGCCCCAATATAAAGGCAATCCTCCAAAATGTTTTTAAGGATATTTTTTTTAATACTAAATGAAACGTGACGAGAGGGGGTGAAACCGGAAGGACCGAGGGTGGTTACGCCTTTCAGAGCCCTTCCGTCAGGACAAGACCACCGAAAATACTGTTCCTTTATATAATATCACATTGCCTTTCGATTAACAGGACAGATAGTGACGTTCGCGAGTCAAAATTTCCTTTTTTTGTAGATTGGATAAGATTTAAACGTCGGGATTGTTTGTACTACACCACTAGAATAGCATCACACTTTATGCACTGAAGATGACCTGAATAACGGTCGAAACGTTGGCAAAAAAATGAAAAAGGTGTTTTTCTAAACTAACTCATTCATGACCACTCCTCACATCAACAAATTATGAAACAACAGGTCACTAAGAATCACACATTTGTACTTTCTGTTGAACTTCATCCTTTTTTTTTGTTGTTGTTGGTTTATAGTGTGAGTCTTTTTTTGTTCTTTTATCAATTGAATTATTTTACTGGCACTAGAGGCATTGTTTCTCCCTCAAGCCTCAGCCTTCTCAGTTTAAATATTTTTCTTTTCATTATTTAGATTGATGATGAGGCAAGGAAGACAGAAACAACATTTATTTTCTTGTCGAGCTTTCAGCAGAATCAATATATCACCTTAATCAGGACTTCGAAAAAATCGTTTTTAAAGAAAATAAATGTTGATACTGCCTTCCTGGCCTCATCCCCAATCTACCTAATGTAAACAAAGCTTTTCTGATGTTCTGCAGTCTGCGTGTAGAAGTATCCTATCCCTCTTTGCAGATTTTTACACAGCACAAACGTTCACTTCCAAAAAAACTTTTCCCATATTTATATCGATAATCTAGCAAAGAATTGACATTCACGCCAATAAATACATTCACTCTCAACGCAAACCTGTTTACTCCATAAATCGGAACAGGGAACCCAAAGATATATTGGGCAATACGTATTACGATAAACAATAGTAATATCAGAGGGGTTGACAGTGAAATATGGTGGCACCATCGCCCCTCCAGCTTTGTGTGTGTGTGTGTGCGTGTGTGTGCGTGTGTGTGTGTGTGTGTGTGTGTGTGTGTGTGTGTGTGTGGGTTTAGGAACGAAGGCGGAATATTTATAAAAGTACCCCATCGATTCAAATTTAGATTAGATTATTAATATTGCGTGTAGGTCGATGTAGGCATATCGAATACTCTAGCGACTAATCAGAATAAAGAACATAGGTGTGAATGTATTTATTTGTGCGACTGTATTATAGAAGTTAGTTTTAGGCTAGATTGTATTTTGCACGCGTTGGTGGCTGAAATTAGCTAACTGTCCGAAGCCTAACCCCTGGTTGGGAAACTTCGATCTGCTGGGCATCTGGCTTAAGGAGGATACTAGCGACCCAGGGTTGAACTCCCTGATGAAGACCCTAGGGTCAGCACGTTGGGGAGTTTCAACCCTTGGGGCTGAAAGTCCTAATTACAATTAAGTCTTAGGACTTCAATACTTACAACTCGCATATAGGTGAACTTCCCTGAGGTATAGGTCCTTAGAGGTGAAAATCCGAATAGCAGTACTTATGTTACAAAAAAATGAACAGGCTTGTCCAGACACATAATGAATATGACCAAATGAATTCTTTAAATTTTTCATTCTTTCTTGAAACAGACATGCTTTTAGTTTAAAAATCCTTTTCTTGTCAAGGTTGAAAGTCGGCCCTAGATAAACACTAAACATTACCACATAGTATATTCATGTGTGATGATTAGTGACCGTTAGTCAATGATTATTCGGAAATCGTGAGATGCGGTCTGGTTTGATGTAGGTTTCAGAAAAATATTTTCTTTATCGTGCCAACGTTTCGATCTTTACTCAGATCATCTTCAGAGCCTGGGATTTACAAACATTGTTTAAACGTATTTGTTGAATTTAAACAATGTTTGTAAATCCCATGCTCTGAAGATGATCTCAATAAAGATCGAAACGTTGGCACGATAAAGAAAATGTTTTTTTGAAACTTACGTCACACCAAACCGCACCTCAGGATTTCCGAATAATCATAGTATATTCATTTTACTAAAAAGGGACAGGATTGGCCAGTTAAAAATTGATTAGAACCAGATTTCAAGAAAGATTTTCTCTCATAGAACGGTTTAAAAACTTAAGAATATTTTCAAAAAATGTGCTGTAAGTTGTAAGATTTCATGACGGGGATTGCGGAGCGACGAACCTTCTCACTGAAGACTACATCGAATAGAACAAACAATGTGTAGACAGATCAAAATAATCGGAAGCGGTCAGTCATAAATAAGTATCAAGAATTTCATTAAATTTAGCCAACTGGCTCTATGTTGTATCTTTAACTGGTAAAATTTGATATGTGCCAATGTGTTTATTTCTTACACGGGAAAGGAAAAAAATAGAATTCCACCGCGAGCGAATTCCCTCGCGAGCGACCACGTCACCCCGTTCTTTTTGTTTTTCTTTCGCCGTACCTTCGCTTCTCGGGAACCGGGATCACTCATCGGCGAAGCCGGAACGCGTTTGGAGCTGGAGTGAGTCCATCCTCCTCCGGCCTCCCACCAACACGCGGAATCAGAGTAGAGGGAACGCCGATTCCCTGGGAGTCGCCTCAGTCAAGTTTTGTGCAGTGGCCGGCGCGGAGGCTAGGACTTTTTTACTCCTTTTGGATTACTTGTCAATGAAGACGGTGAGTTTATATTTTTTTAAATAAAATTATTCACGACTAATTGTTTTCCCCTCGCACAATTTACGCAATCGGCTTAACATGCAAAAATTATATTAAAACAAATTTTAACGCAAATTTTTAAAAACCTCAAATTGATTATTCACCATTTTATAATCATTTATAATATTTATTTTTTTTAAATATAGAGAATTTTTTGTTTTTGCTAATTCTCAAAAGGGATCTATCTTAAACACACTATTCCTATTTGCAAATGGTTTTTATAATAATTTTTCACCCCTGTTACATTTTTTTAGGCCAAATCAGCAAAAATTATAAATATATTTAAGTCCTCTGCAAAAAGGATGTATAATGTCCTAGACATTTCCTCTTTTTTTTCACTTATTTACAAAATGTATGTAAAATTATCTATTAAATAAATTCAAAATTTCACTATTCATATTAAAATATAGTCACATATTAATCATAATTTTGTCTTAAACTTATATTTTTCTCATTTTATATAAGATATTGGAAAAAAAATACTATATAACATAAATTGTACTTGGGCGATATATTTTTGACCACATTTGTATAATAGATAAAGCCTGGATATGTTCAAATTTTGTAGCTCTAACTCAACAGCGCAAATTCGAAAAATATGGATATATACACGATCTACCATAAAATTAATTTAATTAAAAACTCTAAAAACTGATAAAAAAGGACAGAAAATTATACATATTTCACTTCAAAAAGTAAGTTTTTGACTTACTTAGTGAATAATTACTCGTCATATTCAAATTTGACTATCGTTTTACTTGCCCCTTGCATTGTGCAGGTAGTTCAAAAATTATGCAGGTTTTGATAAGGCAGTCAATACTATTTTTATTTAAAAAAAAAAATCTATTGGAATAATTGTTCATCCCAATCTATACATTTTTGCGAACAATATAATTATGAAAAAAAAAGATTCTTTCAGAACTTAAATTTAAAAAATAATAATAGTACCGGGTTTTTTTAAAATATGTATATACTACGTCTAGTACACGTTATATGTGTTATCGTTTATCTTAGTTAATTAACTCACGTAGAAAATTTAAAAAGCTTCTATCTTTGGTTAGCATAATTTTTTTACAGCGATTAACGTATTGGTTAATTTTCAATAGAAATATTTTCAAAACCCTGTCTTAAATTTTATCTCAAAGTTGTATTTCAGTAAGCAACGATACTCCTCAGGGCCGACAGCTATCGACTTTCGAATCGCCGTGTCGTAACATCCACTGGGCCGTCGACTCAACTGTTTAGGTTAAGAGATGAGGAGTGTCTGCGGTTGGGCTGTTGTATTTTTTTTTTTTTTTTTTTTTTTTACGTATACTTCGAATTTTTCGATCTCGGTCCAAAATTGGATTTCTTTTTCGCGACAAAGAACAAATCGGTACACGGCGACGCGCCGCCAGGCTGACAAGACATCGAGATGGTTAAATTCATACATCGAAGTCTTGAGGAAAACTTGCTTTTAGTCAGCCTCGTTACAATTCTTTTTGGCCCAAGGCCGACGGATTTGCACGAACTTTCGGTTGGAATAATGACCGTACGAATGAGCCGTTTTGAACGTTTGAAACTCGTGAAGTTTTCTCCTTCTTTTTGTATTTTAAAATAAACTTTGAGCTCGCTCTAAACATGCAGATGTTCTCCTCGTAGCTTATCAAAAGAAATTTTCCAGATCAAACAATTTTCTAAGAATTCTAAGGAAAAATTAAAATTGAACCAACTCCGGTTCTGATGGTGAACCGTTTTGAAACATCCGTAATATTCGGGACCGTGAAGCTGTCAGAGCGAAGAGTGATTTCCTTAGCAAAACAATTAAAAAAGAAACCAACTAATTAAACGAAACCGGTTCTATTTCAAAAAACCTCTCAATTTAAGAACCTTTTTTTATTTTGGGATATACTAAATAAATAGATAAAGGATATCAGTTGATTCCCGCAGTCGTCATAGAACTACATCGGTGAACGACGCAGGGGCTAAAGATCAGAATGATCGGTCTTTCGCGATCTAATTCGGTCTTCAAAACTGGAGAAGTAGAAACTTTTCGCAATGCCTTTACGCTTTCTGGCTTCTAGTTAGGTCTGCTCTCTAAACTAGCCGACTGGAGAAATTTCAAAAAAAAAAAATCACCGCCGAAGAGGTAAACTTTACAAACCATCGATCGGAATTTCATCAAATCTATATTTTAACGAACGTAGAATTTTAAAAAATTCATCTGCCAGATAGATCGATAAATATCTTGATGGATCGCAACAGCAGAGGTCATATAAACCCTCAGGGTACCGGTGTTTTTGAAAAAAAAAATTGTATGTCGTGGTAGAATGCCCGGCCGCTGGATTCGAACCCGGGACCTTTACCTTACAGTGATGAGCGCCGTGTCAACGCCTAAACCGTTGCGGCCACCGACCTCCCCTTTATTTATTAAGTATTTACATTGAAATTTTCCTTGCACACTTGCATAATTCGAATTTTGGAAAAATGAGATTACGTATTCTATGTCTTCAGGCCTGACAGACCGAGTATAAATGATAAAGTCTGAAAGGAAGCCGATTCCTCTTAAAAGCAAAATGTCGTTTTTAGACATATTGAAAAGTTACGTCAGCATTTCGATAATTCTACTTGTCTATTTATAAGCTCGAATATTTTAACTTTAAAATCGCAATACTGAAAAGTGCAAAGAGAAGTAAAGAGGGTGGAAAATTAGTTTCGGATAATAAAACGATATACGACAGTTACTAGAATTATAGGAAAGCACTAATCACTCTTCTATTGTTTATCAGTGATAGTTGCCTCTTTGCTAGCGAATTGTGATAAAACTGCTTTCGCAAAACTCCAAAAACTGGTAGTGCCATGTGGCGTCTTTCATCACAGGTCAGTGGTTAGTACAACCGGTAGTCCCAGTATGCGTGTTTATCGGGGTAAGTATGTTGCAATCCTCAGAAACTAATGTTTAGCAATGTTCAATCCAGCTTCTCATTGTCGTACAAATAATTTAACAAACATTAGTTAATGGTTTATGTTAGATTTTTATATATGTTCAGTATTGGCTGCAACTGCATATGTTCCGAAGGATATACCTGTTTGAATGTAGTGTCTTTCAACCCACCGGTTTGGTTTTGACACTTTTCCCAAGGGCCATGTTGCAATCTACTCAGAAGGGTTTCGAGATTCGATTGGGAGATTCGCCGGAAGCGTGTTTATCGGGGTTGTGCCCAAGGTCGCGTGTATTTTAACTTTCCTCCACGTCCAATCGCGGGTAACGGGTCCGAGTCGACCCAAGGACTCGCGCTCTTTCTCTTTCTCTAAACGGGATGACCGGCCGGCCGTCACTTTCCTCTTCGTCCGACTGATGTCCTGTCACCAGGAGATAACGGTCCGAGATACGATGATACGGAAATGGACTTACGATTACGACCGTGTGGCGTAACGACCCCCGGGCCCCCATCCCGGGACACGGTACAGCTTTTCTCAAATACCGCTGTTGAAGAAACTGTGGGAAAACTAAGTCTTGGGTCCGTTGTGCAGTTTGAAGATGTACTGTTCATCTTCAAAGACGCCAGATCTGAGGGGAGGTCCAAAACTGGATCTCAGAACAGTCAAAAATTAGTACTGGGGTAGACAGATGTAAATCATCCTATTTACACACAAGAGAAGGAGAAAACTCTATTTTCAAACGCCAGTCATTCAAAAGGACGTCGATCCAATTATTAAAAGGAATAATAATATTTAAACTATATTAACATAAATATATATATATATAATAATCCATTATATTTAGTGGTCTGATTGACCAAGTTACTTCTTTCAATTAATTGTTTTTTGTATGTAAGGTCTTGGTTGAAATGAAAAAGTCAGTGTCACGAGCGGGATTCGAACCCACGACCTTCAGCTTAATACACCGCTGCTCTAACCACTTGAGCTATCCAGATTTCAATCTACTCGGACACCGTCACCCCATTTCATCCTACAACATTTCAGATTTTCTCACCTTTTTGCCATTTTTCAAATGTCGTGTAATCAGAATTCGATTCTCGACGACATATGAAGTGGCCACAGAGTTAGTGAAGGAATACTTCGTTTTACTTATGAAATTTAAAATTTATTTCATATTTCATTTTCATATTTATTATTTCATTACAATAAATATTCAAAATAGCTTCTTTCAATTTATTAACATTTTTATGTAAGGTTTTGGTTAAAATGAAAAAGTTAGTGTCACGAGCGGGATTCGAACCCACGAGCTGCTCATACGCCGCTGCTCTAACACTTGAGCTATCATGACTTCGATCTACTCGGACACCAACTCCCCATCTCAACCTACACCTTTCAGATTTTCCCTCCTTTTCCATTTTTCAAATGTAGTGAAATCAGGATTCGATTTTCGGCGACATATGAAATGGCCACAGAGAGAAGTGAAATTATACTTTTACTTATTAAATCTATTATATTTAGTGGTCTGATTGACCAAATTACTTCTTTCAATTAATCGTTCTTTGTCTGTAAGGTCTTGGTTGAAATGAAAAAATCAATGCCACGAGAGGGATTCGAACCAACGACCTTCGGCTTAATACACCGCTGCTCTACACTTGAGCTCTCCTGACTTTGATCCACTCGGACACCAACTCGGCACCTCAACCTACAACCTTCCAGATTTGCCTTCCTTTTTGCCATTTTTCAAATGTTGAAATTGATACTAATATTTAAACATTCAAAATTCTCAGTTGCGGTATTTGGGGCATCCTAACGACTTCCATCACCGCTCTTTCTGTCTTCGGACTGTAAGTCGAAATCTGACGCATATCGAAATAGAATCGGGTCGGGTTCCAATGCCTGCCCATGGGCATTTGCGGTCTGCTGAAGTGATGCAACAGCGGTTCCCTCGTTTGATCCGGGGGCTGTCGTTTAAAAACCAGAATTACAACGTGTTACCTCACCAGGCTGAGGTTGCGGATCGGACAAAGTTGCCAATTGCC